ATTTGCCAAGAAACCTAAATTATTTGATTAATTGATTAATTAATTATTTGATGAATTGATTTTTTCTGGGATTTGCAAATTGAACTGATAACTGTTCGCTGTTTCACTGACAGTCATTTTTAGTCCTATGTATTTTAGTAAACGAATTAACAAGTATCTGTCTACAAACACTCACCACAGTAAAAAAGTACACTGAAGAAAAAATATTTTTTTATGAAAACATACCTGAATAACATTTAAAAACAAGCACTCATAAATCATACAAAGAGCTTTTAGAAGTTCAAGAGAATTCTTGTAATTGCAGCTTCCAGTACTTCACATGCTGCGCTTACAATACAACATTAAGCTTTCAGGTCAGAGCCTCATACAGTGTCAGCTGGTGCAGCTCTGCTTATTGTCATGGCTTCCTTTCCTTCCCCTTCAGTGGAGAAGCAATAATTCACACTGGATAGGGCTGTAGTCATTGGTTTCTGAGTGTCAGTTCTGCAATCTCTTGCAAGAATATGAAAGGATATGAACTGATGTCCCTTCTCACCTGCATTTCTTTTCTAGTAATTCTTCAAATCTAGTCTTCTGACACTGGCCCTTATCTTCAATTCTTCAGAATGTATTTTATGCTGACTTTCACATCCTTGGATGAGCTTCCTGATTTAACTGCTTACCAGCTGAGAAAGATATGAGCCAGAAGAAACTGAACAAGGGAAGACATGGAACTGCCCATTTTCCCTTCAATCACAAGCACTTTTCAAGGTAAATCTGCTCCTAAAATACCCCTTCATTGGCTGATGGTACTTGTTTATTATACAACAGTTATAAAGTCTGTAATAATGTGGTGTTTCATGTACAACAAAGAAGCTTCCAAACACTCAGGAGTAGATTTAATGCATGTGACACGCTGTCATCAGTCTGCCTTTAAGATTACAGGCCTGACTAAACAGTGATCTTAGACAGCACCATTCAGGTTCAGGCAGGTCCCAGAATTAGGAAGACAATTCACTGAAGCCTGGGGCATGTACTTTCTGCAGCTTCAAGCAATCATCTTTTCCGTGCAAAACTGGGGCACTGCTGGAAATGGACATCTCTAAGGTCTGAACATGTTACTGACAGTGGCTTTGCTCCTTCCAGTTCAAGAATTAAAAGAGTACCTTAATGCTTTGATTCATGAACCACTTAAGAAGAAAAAAAATCCCCAACACCTCACATGTACTTTATGTTTTGCACTGTTCTGCCAAAACTTTTGCTCTGTCTTCCAACTTTTTCCTTTACATTTCTCTCCTCTCACCTTTTTTCTTGTAGTCAGTCCACCTCCCAGTTTTCTCCTGCTTTCCTCTATCATCATATGAAAGGGGAGTTTCATCCTCACATCCCTGCAGATATCTCCATTGTACCTTCTTTGGCCAAGTACAACTGTGGGTCGCTATGCTTTACCTCCGAGCTGTTCTCATGCAAGAGTAGTGGGAATCTATTTTAACTATTGCTTTTCACTATATTACTATTGTATGGGAACTGCTGAGTCATGGCCTGAACCTCAGGTGAGCACCTGAGGCAAGCAAGGGGTCAGCCATAGGAGCACAGGTGAAGGCAATTCTCCTGTGCTACTGGAAGGGATGGAGCCTGGCTGCACCTCTCCTACACCCATTCATGAGCTGACTGCCAGTGGGGAAGGATCTCTTCTGGAGATCCCTCCTCTGGAGTTTCAAAATGAGCCCGGAATATGGGTGAGCACTCTATCTATTCTCTTTTGGTATAATAACTGTGTAGCCAAACTCTCTTGTATATTTCATAATTATAACATTGGTACATTCATTGATTATACAACTATATTCTCAGTACTGTCTGCAACAGCTGGAGTATGGGCTTCAACATTAGGTGTGCCGATACTTTTCTTCCTCACTGATGACTTCGGTGATTTCTTTCTTGTATGAAACATGCTAAAAACAAACAGCAGCCACACATACAATTCCATAACTATTACTTGATGTCAAATACCTCATCTAACCTTTTCCCCACACAAGTAAGAGTACATAAACATTTTGAAAGAAGGCAGAGGAAAGAAAAGGAAGTTACTGCTTACAGCAGCTTAAACAGCAAAGGTGGAAATAGATCTTGGCAGGGAGATATGGTAAGGCACATTTAAGTGCAGCTGTGTAAAGTTCTGCATGCTAGCAGCACATGCTAGCTCTTTAAACAGCAAGTGATAGAGCTGCAACAGCAAAGTTTTGTATCAGAACTAGTAATGGTTTCATCAAAGCCCTGACTCATGATACTCAGCATTTTTAACTGATGTGTTCTATAAAAACTGCTAGGTGGGCAAAATAATTCCCTTTATAAAGCATTTTGCCACTATTAGAATAAAGCTAGCATCTTACCAGTATCTTTTGCACTTACTAGCTGGTTCACTAAGATAAAACAAAATATTTTTTCAAATATTTCCAATATGCTAGTAGAAATGCAAATAGCTGCAGCTCTGCTTAAACAAGAAATTCTATACGGGCAATGGAAATCTCTTAAAAGCATGCAATATAGTTTTTGTTAGAGCTATCCTTATTAATACCATAATCCCTCACATAGAGAAAGACTGCGCTTCTCTTACAAAGTTCCCACTGATTACACTGATCTTGCTTGCAACGTGGGTTGCTTTTAATGGATTATGTTTATTTTCATTCGTTATAAAGTAGTTAAATACACAATAGTAAGAAGGAGATAATTAATTTTTCAACTATGAAAAAAAACCAACAAAACATTTTCCCTTGCCCCCTTCTCTGTCAATTATTAGCCACCATCTCACTTACACAGATCTTCAGCTGACTTTCAAAGCTAGTTCTTGATCTAGTGAATACTAAGTCTAACTAAAGTGACTCTTTGTTGCTATTATTGTTTGCCTCTTAGCTGTAATTAAATTTCCCAATTGGATTTCACAAATATGCCTATGGTATGTTGTTATCACAGATGATATGCCAAGAAGATGAAGAATAATGGCTCTGGCTTCTGGGTGAAATTACACAACTCCTTAGCTTACCCTAAGGACTACCTTAAAAGCATGCTGAAGGCAAACAGTGTTTACTTCATAACTATGTGACAAATAAGGCACAGCCCATGCAGTGAATGAGTCTGATGGATTGGATGTTCAAATATTTCTGTCCTCATAATTCATAATTTACTCAAGCATGATGCCACTGAGGATCAATATTAAAGGTCCTTAGTGAAGGAAGTCATTACAAAACACAATTGCAGCATGTGTAACTTGGCAAGAAAGGACAGAATTCATCTGCATTTCATCAAATTCACATTTTCAGCTCACCAGGATACCCAGGTACAGGGAAAAAGATTATTTTTTGTCCTGTGTTTATATCTGAAATGCTAGGATGATTTACTGTATAGTCAAATCACATAACTAACAATTCCAAGGGTAAAACCACATTATTTAAGTGAAGTACAATAAGGGTCCTTTAGAGAAAATGAATATAAAAGGCAGTTGGAGCAAAAAATGATTCAAACTGGAGGCAATTCTGAGTCTTCAATCACTCTCACAAATGTTTTCTTCACAAATGTGTCATTTTTGCTTATATTACTTTCCAGAGTTATATAATTTGTATTTCCATCTTTGACAAGCATGTTTTAGACCATACAAAATGTTATTTTTACTGTCATATTCACCTAGAAAAGCTTCTACCTATGCCCAGACATTTGGCTGCTTGGGGAGATGCCGTATCTTTAACCTTCCGTTTTCTAAGTTATTAAGTACAACTGTTGTGCAAGACAATAGAAAGAATTCAGAGCATATTAGAATCAGTTCATTCTTCCAGCCTGACCAGTTCACTCTGCAGAGCCTTCCTACCTTCAGACAGACTGACATTTCCCCCCAGCTTGATGCTCTCTGCAAACATACTGACGGTGCACACAATCCCCTCATACAGATAAGCAATCAAGATATTAAGCAGGATGCGCCCCAATACCAACCCCTGGAGAACCAGCTGGGGCCAGTCACAAGCTGGATTTAACACCACTCCACCATCACCCTCTGGGCCTGACATTCTAACTTGTTCTTTACCCAGCAAAGGATGTGCCTGTCCAAGCCACGGGTTGCCAACTTTCTCAGGAGAATCCTGTGGGAGAGAGCCTTTGCTGAAGGCTAGGTAGGCTATGTCAACAGCCTTTCCCTCATCCACCAGGTGGGCCAGTTGGTCACAGAAGATCAGGTTGGACCTGCCTTTTATGAACACATGGCAGTTGGACCTGATCACCTGTTTGACTGCATGTACTATGAGACTGCACTCAAGACGATCTGTTCCATAACCTTTCCTGGCACTGAGGTCAGGCTGACAGACTTGTGTTTCCCCAGATCCTCCTTACAACCTTTCTTATAGACCCTGTCCATAAGTCACGTTGGCAAGTCTCCAGTCATCTGGGATCTCTCCAGCTTACCAGGAAGAATAAAAGGACAACAACAGAGAAGGAACTTCTAAAGAAGAGATTTGACAAGAATGGGGTCTGGTTTTTGACACAGCTCTGTAGTGTGAAGAAGTTGTCTGAATTTCAGATTTATGAAAATGAGACGGTAAATATATAGAATCATAGAATCACAAGGTTGGAATCGACCTATGAGATCATCTAGTATCAAGAGAAAAAATCACTTCAGATAATGTATAAATAAATTATGAATGTGCTCATGGATGCACATAAAGTACTTTAAAATGCATTGCTTCATTCATACAATACGCAGTTAAAAAAGTGAACGATTTGTTTAGCAACAAATACAGGTCAGTGCTGACTCTCCTATTTCTTAAATTCTTTCAAAATGAATAAGCAAATTTCTTTTTCAAAGCGCTAATATGATTCTCAATTTAGAGCAGAATTAATATTCCAGACTTCTGTAAAAGAGACACTGAAGGGAATAAAGGAGGTACTTTCACAGGAAGACCATGGCAGGTACAAGATGGCTCTTCTTACACACTCTAGAAAAAGCAGCAGCAACGTATGACATCATGAAATAAACTAACCTGTGGTGTCATTCCATGGCAGATATACATGATTGGGATATTCTCTGTGTCTGGTCCTTGATCAAGGCACAAATCATTTTTCAAGGAATTCTGCAACTAAATTAAACAAAAAGAGATCAAGAAAGATATAAGACCAGAAAAAAAAAGTGCTATTATTTTCTTTGAAATAAAATTGTATGTATTTGTAATATGCAAAAGTAAACATAGTTGAAGTGAAACTCTTTAAAGAAAAAGCACCTGGACTAAGTATTTCCTTGTAGATTGTCTAACACTTCTAATTTCAATAATGTTTCACAATATTTCAGGGAGCATCAAAAAGCCTTCAGAGAGCAATTATTTATATGGAGAAAAATTCTTTATATAAAGTCTCTATATAAATACGTAAATATTAAGTGTTCTTCTTAAGGTATACCCTGTATACTGAGACTTTTTATTTCTTTTTTTAAACCAGCGTGCAGGTAACTGAGGTGTATAGCCATAGTTTTAAACAGTCTAATAAAACTGCTTTGTAGAATATCTCGGGAGAGTCTTCTGATTTCTGGAAATAATTCAAATATCCCCTTCTGCTGACGATTAGAGACTACTGGCCAATTGGTATGCACTAGGGCTTCTTTGCATTACTCAGGGCTAACCTACCTACAGCAATCCAGCTATGAAAGGACTGCAAACTATTAGTCCCTATATATTATCTCGACAATGCTGAGACACAATTTTCTGTAAGATAAGTGCCAAATTAATGAGCACAGATAGCTAAAAGGTCTCTCTAGTCTGTGATGCCAGAGATGTGGGTTGTAAACCCATAGGCACATAAAAAGATGTACACTGCTATAAGAGAGGTTCAGAGAACACAAAGAAATTGTCTGATGGAGTCTGAGACTAAACGAGCAGTGCTGCCAGCTATGTACAAGGATCTCCTTTGAGAAAAACAACTTGATATGCTTAGAAAGTAAATCTAGAAGTGTACTGATATGTAAGAGCCGTGGACAAGTCAGAGACTTAAATTAGGCAGTGAATACATTTAACAACATAAATTCATCTTCCAAAGAATTCCAGATCTTAACTCTGAACATACTAACTTCAGTAACAGACAATAAATATTAATATTAAAGACAAAATAGGCATTTGGGATCAAAGATTGACTGGAAAAAGGGAAATATCAAACCCATTTTTCAAAACAGTAGAGAGAAAGACCATGGGAACTGCTGACCAGTCAACCATACCATGTGAACCCCAAGAATTTCAACAAGGCCAAGTGCAAGGTCCTGCACCTGGGTTGGGAAGCTGCAAACATCAGACTGAAAGATGAATGGATGTAGAGCAGCTCTGAGGAGAAGGTCTTGGAGGTGGTGGATGAAAAACTGGACATGAGTTGGCAGCAGGTGCGCTTGCAGCATAGAAAGCCAGCTGTATCCTGGGCTGCATAAAAACAAATGTAACTAGGAGATCCAGAGGGATGATTCTCTGCCCCTGCTCCTGGTGAGGCCTCGCCTGGAGTTATTCCCCATCCCTGCAGGTGCCCAAGGCCAGCTTGAATGGGGCTACTGACAACCTGATCTAATAGGAGGTGTACAAAGTCACAAGACTCTTAGGAACCATCCCCTTCCAAAATCTGATAGCTGTGTGGAAACCCAAAATAAACTTCCACAATGTGGTTTTAGATTACCAAGATTTAATTATAATTATATGGCAAAATATAACCAGATCACCAATCCATTGTGAGGAAAAGAGAAAAAAAAATCCATAAATCATTAGTCATTATTGCCATCTGCTCCCTTTTAAACTTACAGCCTTACAGTAAACAGAGATAGGCTACTGAAAGTCTGTATTTGCAAAATTATTTCAAACACAATGCTAGAATCAAGGAACCAGCCTTATGCTAAATACATTAGCTTTTGGCTCCACTGACATTATTTTTTACTAACTCTGAGGGTATTGCAGAACTCATAAATCCTCTTACCTTTGATTGTCAAGCCATTATTTCAGCAGCAACATTGTATTTTATTTTTTTCCTGACAAAAGAAGTTTTAGATTTTTTCTAATTTTGTCAGATCTGCACAATCTAGCAAGAAAACGGGCTCTGAGAGTTTCAATTTCCCAAAATCTAATCTTAACCTCTGAAATAACAAGGAGACAAATCTACATGCTTAGAGCAAACAAATCACTTTCCTCTACAGACAAAGTACGCTGTTAACTTTCTGGAAATGCCCCCTTAACTATTTCTGTGAGCTCTGGAACTGGTATCCAATGGATGTTTCATGTAAAATAGTGGAAGATAACAAATACATGTGCACCATAAAAAAAAAAATAAAAAAAAATCACCAATCAAAACCATCCTACAATGTTTTTAAACCAAAGGCTGTATATAAAGTGTAGATATCTAAGGCTTTCTGCTCATAATTCTGTCGTATCATATTTGGCATAATCACCTACTGCATATATAGCCTAATAGCATGCCAGTATACTGTGATACCTGATTTCAGTGTTTTTTGAGTAACTCAAGAGGAAAACGTCACCATTTTAATTTTTTTTATTCCAGATGATCAAGCAATGCCCATTCAGATGGCTTTCGTAGCTTATCAGCATTTTAAAACTAATGGACATACCAGTAATTTGACAAAAAGATTAAGACAGCTCATGCACAGAAGCACTGATGGGTATCAGCAAGCAGAGCAGCTGACTTGCTTTGAAATATCACTCCTCCATGATAAGATGTGGTAAAAGCAGGAAAGCAGACATGAAGGAAGATGAGCGATGTAAGCAACTCTTTTATTATAAAGATTTGGGGATTGCATTTTTTTATTTTATACAGTGTTTCATAAAACTGCAGTGTATTTCATAAAACACTCTATCTATACCAATACATTGCCACAGCTGCCCACTATTTCATTTGTGATAAGACAAATAATGAAATCCAGCCTACTCACATTGTATTTAGTTGATGAGGATGCTGATGGATTGCAGACAGAAAGCTGGATCGTGTGCATCATTATACAGTACCTAAATATTCATTTTCTGCTGACCAGTGAGTTCAGTACTTCTGTAATGAACTCTCCTGATTCTTTTTGGTTTGCATATTGCCAGCAAAGAACGTTCAAAGGCTGATGAAAAAATCTCAGCAGAATATAAGATCATATAGTGCCTACTTGCTGACTTCCATTTTGATTTAGATGCTGCTGAATTAATTCTTAGACTCTGCAACAAGTACCTTAGCTACTCCACACCATAAGCAGATCCACACATCTATCAGCAGCTATGCTTCTTCCTCCTTAGGCCACCATCTATTGATCATAGTACTGCTGAGGGTAACTCTATACAGACTGTGGAACAGGTTCCTTGCAGAGAAATCTGATTTTGACATTGTTCTGAGCTATTTTGGAAGGTAACCATTATCTCATGCATTTAACAATGACCTAAATTGTTGCTGGAACTGTTTTTCTGTTATCTTCGGACTGTGTGAAAAGCCAGCATTATTTCAATTGATCATCAAAGGCATCACTGAACTTCGTGGGGCACATAATCACTTCATTTGCTATAAAAGAGCAGCTGCTCTTGTGGGCTCTCAAGGGACTTCTTTTTGTGAAGGAATGTCTTAAAATCTTTCATTTGTATGTAATGTAAGTACTTAGAGTTACATTTCCTATCTAGAACTTCCACACAAAACAAATTAACATTAAAAAAAAAAACACCAAATTTAATTCATAGGAATGAATTTTTGTGAATATTACACTGAATAGAGAATGTGAAAAGGACATCCTTGCTCTACTTGCTTATTATGCACCTGTATTAACTTTCTGTGCTCATCTTCCATGTCATGTACGCCTGTCCTATTCATATTGCAGGTTTTCTAGGAGTAAGAATTGTCTCTGCTTTAATTAGCACACTGCAACTCAAACCCGATTTCAACACCGACAAGGGTACTACTGTCACACAAGTAATGACAATGATAATTCCAAGATACAGACATTTAAGGCTCTGACTGCAATATTAAGGAGCCTGCAGTAGAGCCTGCTTTGCTAATTCACCTGCTGATTGCACTCCTTCTTACTGACATCTCCAGCATGTTTAAAAAATCATGCCTTCAATATCGAGTGGATTGTGAGCCATTAAACAAACAAACAAACAAAAAACAAGGAAGACAACAATGTACAGAATATCTCAGCATGAGCTACAGTGGAGCAGCAGCCTCTGTCAACTAACCAGCCTAAGAAATCATTTAAGTAGCGACTTCCAAGTTCATCTGGTTCTTTTACTTGGAGCCAGGCATTTTCTTCATGAATTACTTCTACTATTACTCAATTCCACCTCCCACCTTTTTAAAATAGGAAATGTAAACAAAGTTCTTACCACCCCATAGGCGACAGTATCTGAATACATTCTCATTTCTGGGTACACACTGACAAGATACCACCTAAAAGTCTTGCACTGAAGCTTCTTCCTCAGGGCCTTCCTCTCAGAAATATCACCAATATCAATTCCAGAGTCCTGCACATAAAACAAAAGGCAGAAAAAAAGCAGACAATGCATTACAATACAATTTTTTTCTGTATATTTTGACAACCCAGACTCACTCCTCACTGCAAAGATTATTCTGACCTATGATGATTACCAGCCTTTGGTCATGAATTGCTTCTGTTACCCACACACTCTGTAAACGCCCCTAGTAAGTATGATTTAGGTCACCATGGTGAGGTCTTTTACAAGTCTGCTCTGGTCAATGGAAATACTCCTAATGACTACAGTGGGGTTTACACCTAGCTTCCAATAAATACAACTGTTGTTTTCTAATTTCCTGGCACTTTCCAAATCCAAAAGTAATTGGCAGTTGGTAGCAAGCTGCCCTGGAAACAACCTTACTGCTGATGTCCCACTGTGGCCTAATCATTAGTATATTACACTTTCTGGCCATTTGTGAAGTCTGAGTTTATTGCTTCACTGCGAAGACCAGAAGAAGCAGCAGAGGAAGAAGCAGAGAAGAGCAGCTCACCTTTGTGAAATATCACTTATTAAATTTCTATGGTAATATAAGAAGAAAACTTGATATTTTTGTTAAAAGCAATTACAGAATGTTCTCTCCCCTAACTTCTATTCTCCTTTACATTTCTAGCTAACTAATTTCATGTGACATACTTCTTAGTAGATCATAAGATGTGAATGTCATAAAGTCCCTGTATATAAAAATCAATACATCATCACATTAAAATCGTGCAACAGAAAATTTCAGAGAGGGAACTAAGTGCAAATCCACGGCTGCTATTTGACTGAAAGTAATGCAAGACATTTTGCTCTACATTGTTCTCCATCACTTTTGCCTCAGAACAAAAACCACAGGATAAATAAACTTTCACTTTAGGGAAATCTTACAATATTTCTACTTAAGCAACAAACTCTAATGGCTATAAATATCCTGAAGCTTTTGTTGGCTACTGATATGATTTAAAAAAACAAACATTGGGATCACTGGATGACCTGGGTCACATATCAATAAGATATCCTTACAAGTACCAAGCTTTCTGAGCTGCTAAAGACTTCTTATTGCATTGAGTGAACACTAATTTGAAAAAATTAGGTTTTGCTACAGAAGCATTTTCAAACTGACATGACATTGGTTTTCACATTAGCAAAGTATAATTTTAGTATAATAGGAATAAATAGGAAACCAAGATTTGGAATAAATATTATAGGGGATAATGATTCCTCTCCCTTCAAACCCAGCATCCTTCAGAGAATTTCATGGAAACTACTCATTAATCTACTATTTTTTTCTGCCTCTAGCAAGTGACTAAATAGAGCAACAGGCTGCAGAGTGCTGTAAAACTGATCCCATGCACAAATCCTATTCCATGCACTATGCTGGCAATACTTGCCAGTATATCTGCCACTTGTATGAGGGAGAGGAGGAAGCAGGCACATGGCTACAGACATGCAACTTCTGGCACTAAAAAGGCTTCCTAGGATCAAGCACTAAACTGGTCCATTGCATCTCTGCTTTTTCCTCATGCAACTTTGCATGCACCAATGCTTGTTTCTTCAGCTTATTGTACGAGGAAATAAAGAGCATCTGGGGCTTCTGTAATCACATCCTTCCATGCAGCTGGAAAAGAAAAAGAGCTTGCACATGGCATACTGGCTTTATTACCAAGAACAACTGAGTGTATTCCTTCAATGTAACAGCAGGAAAACGGGAAAAAAAAATATAACTAAGCAGAGGACTCATGCATAGCTGTCTTCTGACACTTGAACAATCTCTCCTTGGGGTTTTTATAAGTGCTTTTCTGAATCAATTTATCTAAGCAGTTACAATGTCTACGCTATCTGAGATCTGCATTAGAACCCTTCAATACTTCAGAATCACACACAGGACTCCCAAGAGGGCAGTCATAGCACACTGTCAAGTCAAATTCATTTTTATTATCATTGTAAACTTTCAAGGATTAAAATCCTTGGAAAAATTTGACTGTAGGGCTTTCACAGATCTAGGAATTCTTCCATGAGAAAAACAAAAACAGAAAACCAAACAGGCCCTGTAGCTAACATCTTGGAATAAGATATTTCATGAAAAATCACAACTGTTAAAACTGAATTCATTTCAATTACCTACTGAGTCCATAACCAAGCACAGTTTTATCTGCTTCCAGGTAGGGAATTACTCCTAGAGTGATCCACAGTATTTAGCCATGCCATCTGCCTGTCCTCTCCACACGTCTCTCACAGTGAGACACACCTTTTTGCCTAAACTGGAGCTATGTTTGTATAGAAGATTTTCTCTTCTGTATTTCACTTTCAGTGTAATCTTAGAACAAACAAAGATTAAGCAGAAATATTAGCATCCAGTCTGATACCTGAATTTGACCTAGTCTATTGTCTCCAAGCAACCTGTAGCAATTTCTAAGTGGTGAGCAAACTCATGCTTTATAGGCCTATTTCAGCTGTCAAGACATGTTCCAGAATATTTTTAAAAACTATGTAGCCATGTGTCTTTGTTTTACAATTTATTGCAATGGACTTTCTGATATGTTGGTACTGACTAGACACTTCAAATTAACAAGTAATAATAACAATTTTGATACACATTTGTACGTAGATGTTAAAATTGCTTGCCCCTTGGTAGTACTACCTTAAAAATCTGATAGAGTTCTGTCTTTCTCTTACTGAAGACAAATTCAAAGAAAGATGTGTAACACAGATTTGATGCTTCTCTTTTCATATTTCTGCAACTATTAGGTTAAAATCTCCATGCACACTCATCAGTGAGGTTGACAAGGAATTAGTTTTTAAGGATAAAGGAATTAATTCTAGAAGACACAGCTACATACATATTTACACATATATGTCAGCATATATGCTATTCTATTTTATGCCTAGACGTAAGACATGCATACAAAGAAATCCTAGAACAAAATCATAACAGAGTAGGAACCAAAACTCAAAGGCTGTAAAGACAAAGCTTGCAAACACACGCCTTTGTGACTCACCTCTTGGGGTACATTCCATGCCATATAGACATGGCTCTTAAATTCATCCATCCAGACTTCAGCCACCCTCAGTGCATTTCTCCGAACGTGAGCAGTTAGATCTTCTGTGTATGGTTTATGCGCTCTTTCAATGTGAGCAATCCTGGAGCAAGGCAGAACCTCAACGCTTCCTCCACACTGCCACACCTAGGAAGAGAAAAGGCACTCTGCTAGCAAGAGGTCCCCTACACCACTGCTGTCCTTTAGAAAACTTACTGAAATTATTTCACTCTATGCTTGTTACTGTTACTGGGAATAACAGCTCAGGACTTATTTGTTGTTGTTTTACGCAGTTGTGGAGGAGATAATTATCACTACTTAAGCTTCCAACAGAATTAGCTGTAAGTAGCCCCTCATCACAATTTTCTTGGATGAATTAAGTTATCTTCAAGATTATTAAGACAGTTATTTATAATGCACCCACATATAATAATGTCTGGGTTCACGTTTTAATGCCTTGCAGGCATTTCTCTTAGATTATGCACAAACTCTCTCAGTGCACGCATGCACCATTCAGAATCTGGGGCTAGCCAGCCTTACATTACAGGGAAGCTATGCCAGGGAAGTTCTTAAGATCACCAAAGTTTCAAGGTATAGGAAGACTATAAATACAAATATTAAATAATTATAAATAGACCATGCTTATTTCTTTTGAGGAGGACTGTCAAAGACTAGGAAGTCTAATGAAAATGCTCTATGAACAATTTCAACAAACATTACCTTACAAATGATAATACATTTGTAATGTAGGTTAATATACCCACTCCAATGTGTTTTCCAGTTTTGACCAGTATCACAGTTGAACAAATGTACATTAAACATCTGTACTGCATTCATTTCTAATCTCCTTTCTCTGTTCTTTCAGCTAATGAGGAAATGTATGCAGCCTTAACAGTCAGTGATGTAGTTGGAACATTTTACAAATGTTTTTTTGCTATGTATCTCAAAATATGTAAATTTGCTAGCAAGATCAAGGTAGCCCATTCTTAATTGACTAGTGTATGCTGCTCAGGAAAAAAACATTTACGTACTCAAATCATCTGATCCTGCTCCTGAACAAGTATATCAGCATTCCAGAAACAAGCATGCTCCTCTAAAAAGTGACAGTTTGCCTTTACTGCTAGGAGAGATTCCTGAGGCTTGGTGGTCTATATCAAGAAAGCAAAAAATGAGAATGAAGGTGCTCCTCCCCTGTACAGCCCATTCAGGAATATACATTATTCTGCCTGTCTCTCAGCCGCCAGGGATTTGAGCTGGCAGATCATGTTCTGGAGCTGGTCTCACGCCCATCAGGTGTGTCTGTCCTATAGGCATATGCTTTACTAAGGAGGTGCTTTGTTCAGTCATTCATTTTATATATTTAGACATCTAGCTTGAATACAGCATTTAGGCATTTGGCAGCTCCCGAGACCAAAAAATGTGGCAAGGATTCAGAATGCATACAAAGCCTTTTCTGAACTGGTGCCTAATTGCAGTCAGCATATGCTGAGAGAAGAGATAGAGCCTTGGTTTTCAAAGTGCTCTGGAAGATGAGATATCTCATAGACCTATGGCACAGTCAGGAAGGGAACTGAGATGACTGTGATATGTCTGTGTCCAGATCTTGGAAAACTGTAAGAGTAAATAAATATAAACGCTACCAACAACAGAATGAAATTGAGATGTTCATAAGTATTTAAAATGAAATAGGCAATCAATTTGGCACAAGAATAAATAATCTGGAAATAACACTTGTGTTCTTTCTAATTTTCAATCAAAATTAGCAAATCAGTTTAACAAGCTAACAAAAATACTAGTTCTCAAGGGTTTAATTCTAACTGGTTCAGCTATAATTCCCAGCAAAGATTAAATGAGAAGTATCATTAGTCTTCACTCACTCAATATCTGCTTTCAATCCAAGCCATTTCTCAGTACAACACTGACGCACAACCATAAATTGTTTCAGAGTTATTCACTATATACTGTTTAAAGCAGTTTAATAGAAGACCAGAAAGATGTAAAGATGGTAATAACTTTGCATAGCACGAGGCAATTCACATACCACATGCCCAGCCTACTCTGCCTAGTCTTTGCTCACTGTAACTAGGGATAGTATTGCTCTAAATCCAGCATATTAACAGCAAATCTTTTGTGGGATAGTTGGAGTTATATCTAAATGCCATCTCAGCAACAAACTATGTCAAAAATTCTGTCTATAAGAAGCTGAAATAGGGTCTGAAATAAAAATTTGAAAAGTGCATTCATCTGTAACTTCAGTATTGATTCAGTAATTAGTAGAATCTAATTTGACTTCATAATGAAGTAATAGATGTTTTCAAAAACATCCTGAAATGACCAAGCCTTTCATACCGTTTGTAAATAAGATTTTACCCAGTACCTGAATAAAATCCAATTAATCTAACATAGCAGCCACCTCTTTGTCTCAGACAACTTCAGCCTTCGTTCCATTTTCAAAGACTAACTTATTGCTCTACAAGAACCATGAATTCACTTAAAAACTTAATGCTAAGAAGAAGCTGTCAATACAGCTGCTGGCTGAACAGATAGGTTGCATTAAACAACTTCAAAAACAAATCACATTATTTCTGACCAAAAACCTCCTGCAAACCATGAAATGTCATTAGCATACAGCAAAATTGGACTAGCTGCATATGCTAATAGTTTGTATATATGACGATAAATCCTGTAATTAATGATTTTTTTTTTTATTTTTTTTTTAAATAGAGGAGACCATGAGTAACAAATGTGATTTGACAATATGGGAAGGATAAGTTTCAGTGTGGACAGTGGTTGCAGTTTTTCACAGCACTAGGCAAGTAGTGCTGCCCCAGATGTAGACTACAAAGCCTTGCAGAATTTTAGGAGAGCGAAAGGAGATGCAGTACTCTATAAAGGCAAAAAAGCACAAATCCTGACTTGCTCTGATAGTTAAGGACAAGCCATAGTATTTTTCTCACCCATAGGCTCTTTTTGCCCATAGCATTACAGTATAGTGATAAACATTTTTAGTCCAAATGCTTCATTGTACTTTGAGAGAGACCAGCCGCAAAGAAACGTAGGGAGTCATCAAAGTGGGTTTCCAAATAGCATGATACTCAATAGACTCTGGATTTTTAGCTCTTCAAAATGTGCACAGAGTTTAGCTGACCCTACTATGCTAAATAATAAACACTATAACAAGCAGGATATATCAGTACTAAACACTATCACAGGAATAAATGACTGCTGCAGAAAGTATTAGTTTCTCTTTGTTCTTCCCCAGTTATATTTGCAATAAGGAAATCTCTTGCAGTTAGGCCAAGAACAACAATTAATTCATTCTTCCTTCGCTAAGACCAACTGCTCAATTCAATCTTACCATTCCTATCTCCACTCTCCTTTTCTTGTGGCTACAACACATTAGCTGGGAACATTACACATGGTTGAAACCATCCAAAGAGTGGAAGACTTTTCAAGACATTCAGAAAAGGTATAAATCTTACAACAAAAGTTGCAAGCTCAGGGCTTATTAATTAATTAATTGATTTAAACCAACATCTTCTGGTGAAAGACAATTTTTAATTTAAAAAAATATTTTAGTATTAAGAAATATATTTTCTTCAAGACAGTTCAGAACAAAGCCTTTTATAGTGGCGAGATTTCATCTAATGAAATTCTTGTAGACAAGATTGTTGTTAAAGTTAAGAAATAAGAATGGAAACTGAGGGGTCTACCTCTCACACCTTCATACATTTTTCCTGTGAATTCCACAACTTTTGCTGCCATTAGTAATCTTATTAGTATTAAATAATACTTATTAGTATTAATCTAATTAGTATTCAAGCTTTAAGCGTAATGAATAGCATCTTTTCAATTCTCCAGCACTGTTACTTTATGTAATGCCTATAAATAAAGGTTTAAAATTATTGTACTTTGGCTTTTATGTGTTTATTTATTTTACAAATTAGCATCATTGACTTTAGTAGAAAGTCTAAACATAAAAGAGTTTTTACGACTTTTTGGTTTGTTTTACAATAGGAAATGGTTTGAAGTAAAACATTTTGCCTCTGAGTGTCATGTCCCTGCAGTCAGTAACATACTTAATGACAAACTCATTCATAAAGAAACTGGTAGGAAGAAGCTTGAATTTCCTAAATGATTAAAAAAGAAACGTAGCAATTTTTCCTGTTGCACCAAAGATCATTCACCTTTGGTATCAAGAAACTGTTGGCAATAGTCTCAATATCCTGTAAATCTCTAAACCCACATATACACTTTATCATCTTGATACAGTAAATGGCAATCCACATTTCATTCTGTAAAAGCACCAGTTTTCAAACTATACCATGGGGGCTCAGCTTTGCCTTAAGACAAAATCCTGGCAAAATTGTGCACTTTTTCCTTAAAAAAAAACAAAAAACACAAACAAAACCAAAATGCAATGGACTGCATTTCTGTGGAAATACTCTTAACATCATTGCTGAAGCCTCAGCAATGCAGAAAGCTTGCTTTCCTTTGGAAGATTTTCTTTGTTTTCTGCTCCTGTTGGTGTACTTTGCAAAAAGAATTCTGTTAGAGAAAGAACAAACTCCTTTTAAAGACCACACAATTTCCTTCAGCATGTCTTCAGTGCTCACTTCCAAAAGGTTGTCTGAGAAATAGCTATATATTCCTGTATTTCCTAAGGAGGTTCATGTATTTGGAATACCTTCAATAAGGTCTTACAGAGCTTCTTCCACTTAAAAGGATTCTGTCATCACTACCAAAGGGTAACAAAATTCCAGAGAAAAATGCAAGGTATGAAGGCACAGTAGCAGTGCCAAGGTGACTTCTAACACTTAGTACCTTGAAAGACTAAAATCAGCAGAGCCTACCATCTGAACTAAACAAAGTGAGTGAGATATAATAGGAACATTAAAGAATGCAGAGAATCTATTTGAAAAAGGGAGGTGGAAATCTACCTCCCTTTTAAGTTCTCAATTGTTGCAGTATATGCACAGGGATTGTTCCAGCTCTAAGCACTGCTTACTATTGATTTATTGACATCACACATTCACACGTGCACTATAATTGTGGCCCTACACCTGTGTAAATTTATGTGCACCAAGTAGCCCCACAGAGCAAACATAAAACACATTCTTTGCATTAGAAGGGTCAGGAATGCATAT